GAAAGATGGTTGCTGATCATCAATACTGAATTTTGCATGCTAAATTAAACTTATTCTTGAGATCAATATATCATTTACAATCAAATAAAATGGGCTATTATAATATAATTAATGATACGTGAAACAAAATAAGAAGTAACTATCTTTCTCAGTGTAAAGAAAGAATTAATCCTCGGAGAAATATTTCTTTGAATTCTAATTACATGATAAAAAAAATTGCCCAAACTTGATTTTCATCAAAATTTTTTTACAAAGCTGTAAGTACGTGTGTGTATGTATTTTACAGATTAGTATATATTTTACAGATTAAAAATTGATAAAAATAATTATTAAAATCATGCAAAATGCTGCAGAATTAATTAAATAATCAATTAGCACAAACCTTTCCATAGTGGCAAACTTATTAACAAGAAGGAAAAAAAACAAAATCAAAATTGAAATGAAAACAAAACAAAAAATTCACACAAAATTAAATGACCAATGTTAACAAAAGCAGAATACTGAAAAATTAAAAATTCATGTTATGAAGCGAATGCTAGATAAATAATAAATATCATAATTAATGATACATTCCTCAAGAACTGACATTGTTAATAAAATTTTGATTATTCACAAAGACCTTATTTATTCATATTTATGAGGAAATAGTAATATGTTATTTCTCCCTTTTCTGTAAATGCATGTCCTGAAAAGAGGCTCCCTTTTAAAATTTTACAGTTAAGATACAAAGATAAGGTTAAATAAATACCCAGCTGGATATAAATAACTGGATCATGAACAAAATGGAATCATTTCATTTGTATGCAGGCTATGTTGTAATCAAGAAATAAAAATTAAACCTAAATTAGTGGTTAATAGTCTAATATGAAAAATATACACTGCGAAAAAAAAGAGGGGAAGGGACAGTTCTATATCTCCCGTTCTACTGGGCCAATGACAAAACTCAAATTGCCTTTTTCATGTTTTGAAAGCAAGACTTAGGATATGTATTAGATTTATATATAGCATTGATCTAATATAGGTATTTTGACACAAAATCGGACTTTTTCTGAAATAACATAACAATTTTTTTTGTACATCGCATTTCAATTCTACGACTCAAATTACACCAAACTACCAAGTTTTGTAAAAAATCGCACGAGTAGTTTTAAAAAATTAGCTCTCAAATTCCTAGCTCCTCTATATAATTAATTATATCTTAATTATATAATTAATTATATAAGCTATATCTCTATAGCTTAATTGAGTTAGGTATATATTTATTAATCTTCCTTTTTTCATCAATTGTATTTGATTCTTCTTTTCACATTACGAAATTCAGGTTCATTCCAAATAAAACTCACCCATTTTTTATGGTTTATTTTTAAAATTTGAATTAAAAAATTTTTTGAATTATAATCTATAAAATTTTTGCCATCATCTAAAATTAGACTTATTTCTAAGTATACCTGCAAAAAATTAGTTTTTTTATTCAAAATTTCCGAAGATATGTGACTTTATATATTGGTGCATTTTGAAATTTGGCATATTTGTTGAAGGAATAAAACATCAAATGTGTTTTAGACACTTTGCCAAAATTATTTGAAAATAGGAACGATGGGACTTTTTTCCCACTCATGCACAATGGAAGGGAAAGAAAAACTGGTTTCCATATATTAAGACATTAGTGCAAACTAAAAATATTGTGCCAAGATAAATTTTTGAATTTTCTGTAAATTTCGCACAAAATTTTACAAAATTTAATATCTAGGCATAATCTGAGTACAATAGACCTAAACCCGAATCGAAATATGGAAAGAAATTCGCATGTTATTTCAGAAAAAGTCCAATTTTGTGTCAAAATACTTATGTTAGAACAATGCCATATATAAATCTAATCTATAGTTCCTAAGTCGTGCTTTCGAGACATAAAAACGCAATTTGAATTTTGTCAATCGACCCAGTGGAATGGGAGATATAGAACTATCCCACTTTTCTTTTTGCACAGTGTACATCAAAACAAACAAAAATGAAACTCAATAAAATTAAATATAACAAATATGGAAGAATTGTTGAAAAATCTTTGGTCTTTGGTCTTTTTCCATAAATTCATGAAAAAATTTAAAACTGTCAAATAAAAAGCATTAAAAATTTTAAAACTGCTTAATTTTTCAATCATTTTCTATTTTACTTTTTCACAATTTATTTTTCCTATTTTAACAATTATTTTTTACCATTTCATTTCTGCAATAAAATTTCAAAATTTAATCACAGCATTTACACTTTCCACCATTTTCACTTTTATGCAGTACAGTTCTTGATTTTTATTTTTCATTTTATCAACCTATCCTCCTACTACTTGAATCAACATTTCACAATGAGGAATCACATTCACAATGAAATAATGGAACATATCTATACAGGATTTTACTTTTTCTTTCATTTTATTATTTACCTTATTCAAATTAATACTTGATTTTCTCCCAGTTTAGGTCTATTGTTTTTTAAAACATTTTCCCTTTTAGGGTATAAGCCTTCAATTATTCTGTATGGTTTTCCTATTTTTCTTTAATTCTGAAGCTTCTTCATATTTATGCAAAAAACCATCTTAAAAGTTTATCTACTTGACTAAATAAGTTTCGTTTCCCTTCACTTTGAATTAAAATTCATTTACTTTTGATTTGCAACAGTGTTTTTAGCAGATCTGCATTTTTCTTGATTTAACATTTATTAAAAATTCTAATTTAGCTAACTGCTTTAAAAATTTGCCCAATAGTTTTTCTACTTTCTAATTTTAAGAACTCTTATTTTAAACTGCTCTTTTATTTTATTTTATTTTATTTTATTTATTTATTTATTTATTTTTTTTTATCAGTGTTACTTGTTTAGGGTCACACTGTAGCAGATTATATCTTGATGTTTCACTCAAAAGATTATTTTTAAATTTTTTATTAGCCTTACATTATTTCAAATTAATTGTTTTTATTTGGCACTAGTAAATCATTTCATGAATTTATAATTACTTAAAAAATAAATAAATAAAAAGATTGCAGAAGCAAAAGGAGCTTTGAAAATTTAAATTCTTTTTGAGTTTTTAATTTCATTTAGTAGCTGTGACTTAATACCATAACATTTTTTAATATATGGCAACCAATTACTCAATATCATTTTTATTTAAAAAGAAAATCTGAAAGGTTTCAGATTTTAAAATTACATCCAAAGGGGCTTTTTTTTTTATATTTTATGTGTTACCTTTATTTATTAAATATGTTCATTGCACTTAAACCATAAAATTCAGTTCAAGAGCAATATCACAAAAGAATTTTAAACTGAGCATGTCTTTAGAATTCCCACTATACAGAGATATACTGGAGATAAAAATGTTTTTTCTGTACAACATTGCCATTGCTTGCTTTGAAATCCTCAAGTTTGTTAATCAAAAATTCGTTAAAGATTTACAAAATATGAAATCAATAATAAAACAAATTTCAAATTAGGGCTTCCATATGCCCATATTCGCAGTAGGATTACATCATTCAAAATTTGATGGCTCTAGTTACCATTGTTTTATCACAATGCAAGAAACATATATACATTTATGCAGATTCTTCAAATATAATACACGGCGATAATATTTAGTGGCAACAACAGTTTGAAAAGTGAAATGGACATTCAGAGCGATTCGATGCAAAATGAAAACAATAGTCCCTCAGGGATAAAGCCCCTTTAGACTAATAAAATTCAGGAACATGGCTCTGTACAAAATCTTCTGGCTGCTCCATGAAAAAGACTAAAGAATTTTCAACTATTTGTTATATTTATTGGTACATACATAGTAATGTAGAAGTTGCCAAATTTTCAGAATGTACCAAATTCTGGTTACCATGCACATAATAATTTTTCCATCAATCATTCTCATAACAAGCCTTCTTCACTCAAGCAATGCCACCATTTCATGTGTTCCTTTCAATTGCATTCCAAGTTCCAACCGTTTTTATAAACAAATCGTGATATTTTTTTGCTTTAAACTCAGTTTTAAAATATTAGCTTGTAAAATTTCCCAGCAATAGAATAAATTGTGGTAAAATTTCTGAAGAATACAGAATTTTGCTTAACATTTTCTAAAGGGAACAATGAGGAAATACATTCTTCAATATTCACTACTGCAGAGGATTGCATGACACAGAATCTCCACTACGATGTAGCAAAAATAGATCGCTGTGAGCTTCGGGAGAAGAAGAATATTAAACAATTATAGAAAAATTTGAAGAATAATGTATTTCGTTTTTTAATGCTACCACGTTATTGCTAAAGTATGTTTTCTTATGTTGAGAATGTTTATTGACTTTAGGCAATTTTGCAGCATACTGCACAACTTTAATAATTTACATTCTTAATTTGAAATTTCTAAACTCTTGTGTGTATATGTAATAATTTTGATGTATAGTTGTGATGGCAGAGTGGCTAAGATAAGACGAAGATGATGAAACTGGATTCCGACAAATCGCCAATCTATAATTTCACACATATCCAATTAGTTTGTCAGACTTATTCAATGATAATTAAATACGATAAATTGCAACGTAATTTTTTTTTTTTTTTTTTTTTTTTTTTTTTAAGAAATGACGAATTTGAGAAGCAAAGCAGCGGGGATATCTTAGCAGAGGCGAGACTAGGAAAAGAATGACATAGTTTTTTGTGCCAAGAGTATTTATATTAAGTACATGCAGAAAGTATGCTAAGCTATGACTGGTTAATCTTGGGTTGTTACATGACACAGAAGGATCTCGAATTTGGGAGAACAGATGAAATTTGAGGGAGAGCACCAAATCTAGAATAATTAATTTTGAGGTCAGCAATTATTTTTAAAGCAGCTATCATATATTATTACATCTTATAGATATATATATTAGAGAGAGAGAGAAAAAAAAAAGACGTAAAAATGCAGTACATTTTTATTAACTTTCAAAAGCTACTTGAAAATTTTTTCATAATGTACATGTGAAAAACTATAAATTTACCTGTATTTGTTGGCCCATATATTCCAGGTAAATGGCCTAATGAATTCGTCTGTGGTACTTGTCTGGAACTAAAACCAGGTGGTGGAACTGCTATCCTTTGCTGGTTTGGCACCGGGGCTTTGATTGGCTGAAAGAAACCAGGAGGCGTTGGCGTATCAGCATATACTGGATTATGTACAGCTTCTTTGGCCATTAGATCAGCTAATCCTTTTGAAGATTCATTCCATGGATCAAAATCTATAAAATTTATCACTTTTATTAATAAAATATATAAACCAACTATTTTATATGGTATTTCAATACTGCACAAAATTATATTTGCTACTTGGAGATTAACCATTAGAAGAAAATACATAATGCAACCTTTAGAAACTTTCAACTTATTAACCCATAACAAATCTTCATTAGAATAAACATCTTCCTCTCAAATATTCTCGCCACGTCAATTACCACTCATAGATTTATATTTTTAAATATATTAGGTACTAAAATGACTAGAGTAATTTCAAAGTTGATTACATTTTTAAAATATACAGAAGTGCTAGAGTTGTTCCACAAGTTCATGTAAAAATATTAGGAGGTGGGATACTTTTTGAGTGAAGAGAGAGGGATTCACTTCTCTGTATAACAACTATCTAAGATTTTTTAGCCCCTCTAAAAAATATGATTTCTCTGTATCTGCAAAACATACATTGGTTTCAGTAAGAACTTCTGAATCTGATGTAAATTTCTTAACAGCAAGAAAAGTTCTATACCTCAAAACAGCTAATAATCCTTAGATATCAAACTTAGAGAATAAAAAGAGAAAAAAAGAATTTCAAGTCATAATTCTAATAATTTCACAGCTACCATTGCAAAAGAATTACCTGGACCATTGTTACGAAGGAAAGGGACATCTTCCCTTCATACATCTATCTACCTTTTCATCTTGATTTCACTATTCATTAAATCAGCCATAAAGACAATTAACATTGTTCGGCAACTATTTTACTATTTTTTGAATAGTTGACAAACATTACATCACAAACAACTCACCCTAAAAAAAGTAATCACTTTTTAGCTAGCAGAATACATTTTGCTGCTTTTAATGCATGTTCACCAGCTTTCACTGTTTTGGATTGGTAATGAATGATGCAAGCAAGCAATACAAACAAATTTCATCAACTGCTACATAACAATTAGTTTTATTATATATTTCATAGTTTGTAAAACGTTAAAGAATTTTGGTGAACAAGCTCAATGAACCTTAGGAATTGGCTTATGTAATTATGGCAGTCAACAGGTATGCTGTAATTCATTTGAAATAAGCTTTGGTTTTCAAAATTCAGAATGCAAGATCCACTAAACTTTGTGTGCATTTGATAACTTTTTGTTCCTAATGTAAGGCATTGCTTCGGGGTGATTTTAAGTTTCAGTTGCATTTTAATAAACTAATAATGATAGATTATATGAAAAATGTAGCCTCGCAAATGATGGTTATAAAGACAATTATCATTAGGAAAGAAGTCAAACCAAACCCACGAAAACTTATTTCAAAGACATAATTTTCCATTTTTTTACAGCTAAAATTATTCAAAAAATATCCCATGTTGGCAAATTAGATTTCTTAAAGGTGTTTCACATTTACAAAAATTTTTCAGTTCTAGTTAATGATCCCAAATTTACATCTGCCTTTACCCTCAGCTTTTAAGGAAATTATTTTATAACTGTTTTCTTTTTCATCAACATATATAATTACTGATTGTGTGCCGCAATACTGAGAAGAGCTGTACAAGTATATTTGTGGAAAGTTCCAGAAATGTAAAATGTGTCTTTTGAGAAAATAAATTTTGTTAAGCTGTCATTGGTTCTGTATGCATTCAACCAATCATGAACTTGTATGCATTCAACATTTTTTATGTTAGAAGCAGGTTTGAATACCAGTGACAAGAGTGATGGATGAGCAACTAAGATAACTGGTGACTGCTTTTGCTGCATTCTAAGAGATGAAAGGGGCTGCCAAGTCCATGAAAGAAGAGATGAAAGCAAATATATAATGTAAATAGTGGCCCTATTTGTACATAAGTTTTTTAATTTAGGTATTTATTGATTTAATATGTGAAATGTTTTATGTCATTTATCGAAATTATTGTTTTAACACTGCATTGATTTTCCTTAGTTGTAAGTATGAATTCCTGTCCAGGGACTGTACTGTGCACAATGTGAAGTCCTTGGAAAAGGGGCAATGTTATGACGTTGGATAATGTTAACATGAAAGCTCGGTTAATCTTTGGATTATGGTAACTTGGCGATTTTTTGGCGAAAATTCGGCGACCAACCCTGCTACAGCAATCTGCTAGTTTTGTTTTGGACGCCATTTTGAAGTAAAGGCATGTTTTTTTTTTTTTTTTTTTTTAAACTCAACATTTTTTCCAACAATCTGTTAGCCGAATTACACTTATACTAGAACTTTTATGGAACAAAAATACTTAATCATGATGAAGATTAGGTGCGAAATTGGAAGAAAGTGCAGAATCGCAAACTGCTTGCCGCGTTTTTAAGAATTGCACATACACGGTCTCATCCATGCACAGGTCGACCTATTTTCACTTAAAAAAACATCCCAGAATTGCACGAAAATGCCATTGCGCACACTCTTGACTTTATCCATGTACGCTGCTAAAGTCCTAGCTAGTAACCTTTATCGCCTTACCAAAATGTCGCCAAACTACCTCTTACCATATTCCAAAGATTAGCCGAAAGCTCTGCCGCAAAAGTAAAGTTAGAAGGGTCTATAAAAAGTAAAGTCTATTTAACATTGAGGTAAATGGCTATATCGCTAAACTGGCAAGATATCACTAAGCTGCTGCTAGTTCGCTAAACTTGGCAACCTTTTTCTCTGTTTCGGTATACCTATAATTGCTACTATCAGTTAATAACTATAATTGATACCTATATGTAACTGTATCTGGTCAATTTTAACCGTGTATGCCTTGCAGTAATTTTGAGAAATGGATGGTACTGGAAATTCCTTGGTGGCCTGGGGACAACTATAAAAGACCAAAGACAGCATCAGTTCTCAGTTGTTTAGTTAATAGTTGACTTTGGAGTCTGAGAGTATTGCAAACTTTGCCTTTTAGATGTGCTCTGCATTGAGCTGTATTTAATGTTAGTAGTTTGAAGTTGTAACTATTGACTGTGTCATACTGAAAATATCTGTAAGAGTACTTTTGTAGAAAGTTCAAGAACTGATTAAGTATTTATTTATCATTTTTTAAAATAAATTTCTATCAAGCTATCCAATAATGAACCCATACACACACAACAATATGAACAATTTCAGTACAGGATTTATGTTAACAAATAAAACATTTCTGTACTATCAAATGTAAATGATTAGCAGAAAAAGAATACTGAAGTTGTGATAAGTATTATGCCTGATGGGCTGATCATAGTATGTTAAGAACTACACTGCTGCCTAGATGTGCCATGTGAACAATTAATAATTACAGGTATGCATCAGAATTCTTAGACCTATTACTTTAATTCTACTAGTATTAGCACTTGTACAATATACTCATGAATATAACAATTTCCAAGGAACTCCAATTATTTTGATACATCTCTACTTTAATGTGAAGTATAAAATTTAAAACAAACCCAATAGCTATTACATGATACAATTATCTGTATGAAAGGGATAAAATAATAATTTTGAGCAATATACTTTAAAAGACTTTTAATAAAATTTGTGGAATAAAATATAATTAATTTCACATCCTATTAAATATATCTTCCCTAATTATACTAATAGAATTAAAATTGTTGAAAATTACAAGCAAAGCTTTTTAGTATAATGAAAGATGAGTACTTACAATAGGAATGGCAAAGAAAATTGGCTGGGTATGGAAATTTTGAAAAATTTTTAGTACCATTTTAATTGAAATCAAATTTTTATTTCACAAGTATATTTAGCACATTTGAACACTGCATCTCTTTGTACAACTGAAAAGTATATTACTTGAAGTGGTATGATCTAGAACTACCTATAAAAATGTTTTTAAATCAGTGAAATGCATTTCATTCATTCAACAGAATACTCATACAGTAAGAAAACCAAAACAAAATCCTGCTTTAAATGCAACATACTAAAAGGTTTTCCTTTCTTTAGTATTTGAGTAAACTTCTAACATCTGTAATTGTGATTTAGGTTGCATATATGTGAAGATAACTTTGGCTAAATTACTCAATAATCCAATTACAAAAAAAAAAAAAAAAAAAAAAAAAAAAAAAAACCTGTAACTGATTATTTTATAATTATAGCCTTAAGAAATTTTAGGTACCATTATATTTTCAGAATATTTATACATTTTCAGTATGCCACGGTAGTTCACTTTAAAGTATACACTCTTATACAAGCACCAAGAAATTAAACTTGAGATTAATAAAAGTTATACAGTTATTAATCAGTGCAAAAATAAGATGATCAAGCATTTTTTAAGCTAAATATTAATGCAACTAAATATTTCCATACCTAAATCATCTTCAGGTAACTGTTTTTGGGATTCTCCAAATGAATAATTGGAACTCCAATCTGAATTATCTGTAGTTTGTGGTTCTGTAAAAATAAATCACTTATTTGTATTATACATTATCTTTTAACAGAATTTTTTATAAGTTATAAATTAACATTTAAATAATATAATATATATATATAGATATATATATATATATATATATATATAAAATATATTACTGCACGATAATTAAAAAAGTCCAAAAAGCTTTTACACTTCAGTGGTACAGTTGCAGTAATAATACACAGTACAGTACTGGTACAGCAACATGCAAAATTTGCATAGCAGTTCAATAGCTACAGCTGTGTTACTAGCACATGAAGGATGTACCTATGTTATTTTGATAAGGAAAAATGCAAATTACTAGCTGGTTTGAGTCTCATGGATTTTAAAAAAAATTCATGTAGACAGTAAAACTTCATTCAATCAGAGAAAACACAAAAGGCTGCGTTGCTTGTTCTAACAGATGGGAGTTGCAAAACTGCTGAAACTCTTAATCAAAAATGTAAGAAATGCATATCGGTAAATAGGTATTATAATGTATAGGTAAAATAAAAGTTTTATTATTAGCAAAATAAAGTCTATTAACAAAAAAAAACTAAATTATATATTTTTTCAAGAAGAATTTCTTATCAAAAAATTCAATCCAAAAACATACATGATTAGCTATTTGGCTGATTATATAAAAAATGTGTTTGGAGAACACAGAGGTACATATGGCATTTATAAATGTAAAAACTTATCAAACACATTACTATAACAACAAAACAAAATTATGCATTGCAAAATTGGTTTCAAATAAAATGCCACTACAAATACATTATAAACTTATTAATATATATGGAACTACTCCTATATGTGACCTCAGGTCACCAAATCTCTCGCCAGAAATGTTTGGCAAGAAACTCCACGCCGTCATATTACTACCTAAATTTTTTTTTCTACATTTCGAATTTTAAGCCTAAAATATCTCCAAAAACCACGTTTTAAAGACACAATTTATGCTAAAAATAAAAAAAAAAAAAAAAAAAAAAAAAAAAAAAATTAGATAGCAAAAACGTAAAGATTCTAACCAAAAATATTTGACAAGAATCCATGTTACATAGTGATATGTTTTAACTTCAAAAAACATCTATGAATTGCACATTCTAGGCAGCGAACAACAATAAATTTTATCAGAAAAATATTTATTTACTTTTCTACAACAAGTATTAACTGTCCATCAAAATGATGGTTAAATTTTAAGTGTGTAAATCCATGTATATTGAAACATGTTTGAATTGGCTACTAGAGTTCGGTGATCTGCTTTGAAACTGTTTCAAAGAACCTTACAGAATGAATGAATAGTTGATTCTAGGAAACAGAGTGGTGGTAGCTCTTTTAAAGTTCACAAAGAGCTCTTATTGGAAGCATGTTGTGAAAATAGATCTGCTATTCATTCAGTTACTGAGTGAGCAAACATTTGATCTGCCAAGAGTAGTAACTTGTTTACATTTCACCCACTGACAGCCTTTGTTTGAAACATGCTAGGAAAGTTTCTCATTTTAGGAAGGAAAAAAAAAAAAAAAAATTATCTTCCCATGTTAATTTTGAGTTTCATTTTAATTATTCCCCAATTTCAAGAAAATTGTTTTATTCTAGAATTTTATTGTTAGTTCTATGTAGAAGGAAAGTTTTACGGAATCTCAAAACTACAGTTGAAATAAATCGGTTCTCAGAGTTAAGAATTTGATAGAGTCGATTTCTCCAATCCCACTGATTGTTCAATTCTTTTCACTCTTTGTTCCATCCTCCTTGCTAACCACTACTGATTCATTCCTTGTTCCTGATGTTTTTCATGAAGGTACTTGCTAGTGAGCAATGTGAATTGTTAAAAAGAACTGGTTCAGTTCAAGCAGCAAATGGTTCTCCAATGTCACAAAAGAGTGTTTTTGCCCATCTCTATTGGCTTCTAGCACACACATACTATAAAACATACACCAAAAACAATTCCCTGTGAATTTACACTTCAAATGTTGAAAGAGGTGCAGGTAATTAGAAAGTACCAATATTAAAATTGTATAAAGCATACAGTGAAATTCTTAAATTTGTACAAATTTTGTTATTTTAAATAGCTAACCTAGTATCAAAATTCTGTATTCAAGTTAAAATTTGTTTTCATTGGAAGTCATGAAATATCAGCTGATAGTTACTATGAATAAATAAAATAGAGAATAAACTTACCCTCATTGTGCAAATGGCCATTGTAGGAACTACAATCTGTTGAAACTGGGAGATAATTCATGTGACTAAAAAGAGAATCATTATTTTCTATGGTACCAAAAAGGTGGTTTGGTGACTGGCGCTTGTGTTCCATCACAGATGGTGCAGCAAATGTTGTAACTGGAGAACTGGCTTCCTGTGCACTTGAAGAATTACCTAGGCTACCAAAAGATAGAGGATTGTTGTTACTGGGTGGAGGAGAAGGTGACGACGAGGACATAAAATTACTGGATAAGCTCCCAAAAGGTGTGAACAGAGAGGAACTTGAAGAGGATATGGGTGAGGGAGGCAAAACTGGACTCTCACTGCGAGCAATTTTGATACTTGCTGATACTGGTTTTGATTGAATCTGTTGCTCAGCAATGTGTACAAACGTCGTTTGTGCATTTTTATTGTTCATTTCTATAACATCTGTTAGCTTTGTATTTGCTGTGTTTCCTCTGTTAGTAGCTGGAAGTCCCTCCAACCTCTGAACTGTAGAATGACCAGAAGGCTGTACTGAAGTAGATTCTTTATTATGTTTCCCTTTTTGACTTTTCCTCGCCACAGAACTATCTTCTTTCACAGAATTTTTTGATAAGCTGTTGTGCTGCCCTGATTCTGAAGATGATTTACCTTTACTTTTTTTGCTGTAAAATAAGATATAAAGAACTTGTAATTTTTTTTTAAAGAATTACAATTGATAAAATCTTTAATCTGTTTATATTAGATATTATGGGAAGTGGCGCATTTAGATTTAATGCTTAGAAGTGCAAACTTTAAATTAATCTTTCCTAGAATTTATTGTACCTTAATTTTATATACTTAATTGAAATGATGATTCAGATCAGCAAGCAAAAATGGTTTACATTCATTCTGTAATATATAAGTAATCTAAAAGAAGTAAAGGTAGCAGATTTTTCATTACTATTAGATAAAAAATTTCAGTTCACTATTGGCCTTAGGCAAGTACATGATGTGTTTATCTTATGTAAGAATATGAGAGGGATAAAATTTGAAATTATGTATAATTGAGGCGGAGTGGTGTATTGAGAATACGGCAAAGCACACTAGGGCTATCTGCCTAAGGAGAGGGATGCCTTCGCGGAGAACTTACTAAGGAAAAGTAGCTCGTATACACGTTACATATGGGGAAAACCACGAAAACGCCCATGCAGCCAACCCGTTCACGGGATTCGAACCTTGCACCGAACTACCAATGTTTAGCGATTTTACCACTCGGCCGCTGGTGGGTTGTATAATTGAGGAAATGATGTATTATGGACAAAGCATCAAATTATCAGCTATACAAATTACTAACAGAGAGGTATATCTTGACAAAATTAATGAATTACCCTATTACAATCTTTCATTTCATAACCATGTAAAGTAGTAATTATGAAAAAAAGATTCTTTCACTTAAAAAATGATTGCCAGTAAAAAATTCAATGTTAAGGAAGAAATACGCTGTTCACCAATATAACAAACAGTTTAATTATTAAACCAACCTTTTCTGCCCATCTGATGTGTGTTTATTTTTAGAACGATTACTTTTCCCTTCTGTTCTCTGGCTTTGAGTGGAATCTTTTGATCTGCTTGTTCGAGATTCTTTGGCATTTTGAACTGTACATGGCCAAGAATCTTTGATAGAATTTGAAGAATTCTGTGTAGGTGTTGGAGAAGCAGTCTGTTTTCTGAACAAAATAAAATGGGGAAAATGAAAAATTCATGTTAAAAAAATATATTAAGACAAAATGTTTCTATTTATTACAACTATACATCATATAAAATGGCAGACACTACATATAATAAATACACATAAAACAGCACTGTATCTCCTATTATATTTGATTAACTGCCAAATTTAAACTGCATTTTGCATTTCATAATTATATTTTTAAATTGAGACAGCAAATATGATTATATGCCTAAACAGAATATAATTGAAATCTGGTAACTGATTATCAAAATTCTTAAAGAATTGATCGAAAAGGAAAGAACTCAAATCATATAAGAAATTTTCAGATAGAATTCAATACAAAATCCATTCAATTATTACAAAAATATATAATTTACACTTTTAGTTCTTATACTCTCACTGTTGTGTATTACAATCTGTAATGCAGAATTATCTCTTCCCTTAGTTATGACACTACCTAAAATTATTCAAAATCTGATGTCAAATACTCTACCTGAAAACAGTATGGAGATAGAATTCTAACAGTCTTTCTAAAAGTACATAAATTCTAAATTTAATTTTCACATGACACTTTCCCTTATTACACTAACATACTATTGGAAAGAGTACTAACATACTCTGAATTCTTAAAAGACACTCAAACAATCCCTTGTTAATGTGAATCTATGCTATTGTGGATGAAAAAGCTAGTTGTTGAGCTGATTGGTTAAATTATCATGCAAAGTGCATAAAATCTATCTGTGCAAAGGAATGGATGGCTTTTAAAAACAGTTTAGCTCCCATTTACATTATACATGACGAAAATCATGAAAAATCCTTACATACAGAAATCATAATAAATTTCCAGTGTTCAGTGATTTTAAGAAATTTGCAATTTCATGTCATTCTTTAATGTCATTTCATAAGATTTCAAGAGGAATATACTAGTAACCCTTTTATTTGCTTTAGTACTTTTTGAAATGCGTATAACTAATTTTTGTGAATGTAGTTTAAAAAAAATACCAGATCAGCTTAAAATGCTTCTGCAGTTTGTCTTTTCTTAAAATATTGCTAACTTGACAAGTGGAGAAAGTTACAAAAGACAATTTTTAAATTCAAATTTTTCTTTTTTTTTACGTGACTTCTGTTTCAGAAACTCTAATCTGCAGCACTGTTGTTACTCCAGTATGAAGGCTTAAAATTAAAAAATTATTCATATACATGGTTATAATCCAGCAATGGAAAAATAACAGTTTTGCATTCCATGCTAAATTTATACTCATTTATTGCCTAAAATTGTGACAAATATTAAATATTTTGAGTTTCACTGAGAGCAGCTTACAAAGCTTGGTTGAGTTTTACTGTACACATCTCTATCCAGACACTGATGAAAGGAGTTACATTGATTCTTCATTATTTATGTAATGATACTTCACATAATTTCACAAAAATATCACTCTTAAATCTCTCTTGATCTCCCTCATACATCTGAATTTCTTTAAATGTTGTTGCAAAAGATTTAAAAAAAAAAAAAAAAAAAAAAAAAAAAAAGCAAATTTTACTTTAAAAAATCATAATGGACCAAATATATGGCAAACTGAAACACACCCTTTTTTTAACACCAACAAATTGTTGCTATATAAACATCACAGTATCAAATATTCAATTTTTATTGCATTTTTTAGGAGTAATCTACTTACATTTAACTGAACAAAAATGGTTCAACAACAAAATTTGAGATAATGCATTTGAGAATTTTATGGAAAAAATATAAGGCTGACATTTATATTAACAAAATATGCAAAAATTTGAAAGTTAAAAAAAATTTATTTGAAAAAGTTATGGCTACAAACATTATAAAAGAACTATATACGATTACATTTGTAACTACTAAAAGATACGAAATAATTATAAAACTTAAATGATTTTGCATATATATAAGCCATTAATTCTAATTAAATATATTAATAATTCAGTATTATCTTCTTAATAGTTCCTTACCTGTTATTATTAGAACCTAATATTTGATCTTGTAATTTTTTCTCATATTCTTGATGCTTTCTGAAAGCAAAGCAAAACACTTAATTACATTTTTAAGAGGCATAAAATAAATACAGAAAATAAAATTAAAAACTGACTTACCCTTGTTGCATATCTTCTTTTGTGAAACTAGCAGCTTCATCACCAAGCTCGTGTAAATACATACAATCCTATAACAAAATTTAAAAAAAAATAATGTTTGCTAAATTTAATAGTCATATATCTATGATACTAGCACAATTTTGTATAACTAGTTGGAGAAGCAGTCTGTTTTCTGAACAAAATAAAATGGGGAAAGTGAAAAATTCATGTTAAAAAAATATATTAAGACAAAATGTTTCTATTTATTACAACTATACATCATATAAAATGGCAGACACTACATATAATAAATACACATAAAACAGCACTGTATCTCCTATTATATTTGATTAACTGCCAAATTTAAACTGCATTTTGCATTTCATAATTATATTTTTAAATTGAGACAGCAAATATGATTATATGCCTAAACAGAATATAATTGAAATCTGGTAACTGATTATCAAAATTCTTAATGAATTGATCGAAAAGGAAAGAATAATGTATATGAAAAATAAGGGAGAAGTCAAAGAGGAAGCACAGTTCAAGAGGGGTACATACATACATACATACATATATATATATAAGGGAGAAGTCAAAGAGGAAGCACAGTTCAGGAGGGGTACATACATACATACATATATATATATATATAATTAAGTAAGTTGTAAGAACAAACGAAAAAAGACCAATTCTGGTCAAAATTTTTTGCGTATTGTGCTGCAAAATTAAGGAAATTAGAAATAAATTTTAGTATGCACGCCAAAAGTTACCAAAAACTGTGGCTCTGTGAAAACTCCAACATAAGCATATTTAGGTTGCTATGAAATGTGTGTGAAAGAGGAGAAAAAAAACAATATTTGAATATTTACAAGTTAAATTAATAAAAAAAACTATATGCTAAACAAATTAGGCAATAATTTTTAACACAGTAAAAAAGCAAATCAATTGAACGAGGTAAAATAAAGATAGTAGCCTATATACTAAACGAATAAAGTAGATTATAGAACACAGTAAAATACTAATCAATTGATCAAGGTAAAATATAAAAAAATATACAGTGTCTCACAAAAGTGATGGGACACTTGTGCTTTACAAAAGGAAACTGTAATAAAATAAATTTAAAAAACATGTAAAAATTTTTTGTGGGTGTGTTTCATACTTAAATTTAGTCACAATTATTACATAACATAGATTTTCTCAAAATATTGAAATGTTAATTTAATAAAAATACAATTGTTTAGAACGGAGCAAAAAATGGCTCACATAAGTGATGGGTGGTGGTGTATTTAATTATGGCAAAGCACACTAGGGCTATCTGCCTAAGAGGAGGGATGCCTTTCGTGGAGGACTTTCTAAGGGAAACTGGCTCGTATACATGTTACACATGGGGAAAACCACGAAAACACCCATGCAGCCAGCCCGTTCGCAAGATTCTAACCTCGGACCGAACTACCAGTGTTCAGCAACTTTACCGCTCGGCCGCTGGTGGGCCCATAAGTGATGGGACACTTACTTACTTTTCCATCAAATATTTATCCAAAAAGTTTACTTTTTAAAAGGTTTTAATATTTTGTTGGATTTCCTTTTACTTTTAAAACATGATTTAATCTTCTTGGGATGGATTCGACTACGTTTTTTTGTGATTTCTGGAGTGATTTTTCCCCATTCTTCTTGAAGTACCGATTTTAATTGTTGTTTTGAAGAAATAGTGTGTTTGCGAATTCTTCATTCCAATTCTTGCCAAATATTCTCTATGGGATTTAAGTCTGGAGATTGTGGTGGTGTTTTTATTATTTCAGAACAGTTATACAGCAGCCAGAGTCTAATGTTCAAAGCAGTGTGCGTGGGGTCATTGTCCTGGTAGAATTTAAAATCGTTATGAAGGTTCAATTTTCGTGCTGAAGATTTCAAATTTTGATTTAAAATGCCAATATACTTGTACTGATCTATTATACTGTCAATAAAAACAAGAGTACCAACTCCAGCGGACGACATACACCCCCATACAATAACTCCTCCTCCACCATGTTTTACTGTTGGCACCAAGTTCTGTTTTCGAAATTCTTCCCTGGGTTTTCTCCACACCACGATTCTACCGTCAGAACAAAATATATTAAATTTACTCTCATCAGCAAATATAACTTCATTCCAGTAATCAGAATTCTGATTTATGTTGGATTTTGTGAAAGCCAGTCCGAGTTTTCTATTCTTTTCACTTACGAAGAATTTTTTTCCTGGCTGCTCTACCGTGATATCCAGCAGATCGAATTACTCTTCTAATAGTCTCAGGTTTAACAATTACTCCATATAATGCTTGTAAATCAGCAGCAACTTTAGGAGCACTCATTCTTGGATTTTTTTAATATTTCGAACGATAATTCGCTTTATTCCATTGGATAGCTTTGATGGTCGGCCAGGTCTTCTTTTATCCTGAATCATATGATTCTTTCTATATCGTTTAATGATATTCTAAACTGTTGAATGACTCAAGTTAACTGTTTTAGGAGTTTCTCTAATAGATTTTTCACGTTCAATATGCAAATTAATAACTAATTTTTGAATTTCAGGTAAAGTTTCTTTTTCGTTTAGCATTCATGGCTGCACAGAGCTAAAAAACACAAAAATTCCAAAACAATTTGGAGAGAAATACTGCAGACGATTTTATAAATTATTCCCAATTGCTTTTGAGTAAAAATAAAAACCCCCAAAAAATATTTTTATTGTAGTACGTAGTAGTATCTAATGGTGTCCCATCACTTATGTAAGCCATTTTTTGCTCCGTTTTTAAACAATTGTATTTTTATTAAATTAATATTTTTATATTTTGAGAAAATGTATGTTATGTAATAATTGTTACTAAATTTAAGTATGAAACACACCCACAAAAAATTTTTACATGTATTTTTAATTTATTTTATTACAGTTTCCTTTTGTGAAGCACAAGTGCCCCATCACTTTAGTGAGACACTGTATTAAAATTAAGAAGCGGTAAATGGTTAATTAGCCCTATTCGAAGTTCATTTTGGCTTTTCAAAGGAAATTTTTTAAAATGAATTTGGAACCAAGCTAACTCCATTGCACGTTTCGCTGAAACAGACAACTGAAACTTTGTGCGACAGTTTTTTAATGAATTAAATAAACTATGTCAAAAAACTTTAGTCTCAATTCTTTGTTCCAATTTCCCGACGCAGCCGCATATATTGACACATTAAGGTGTAAAAAATGGAAAGGCAATTCCAATGTTTTCTGATTTTCTTACTGTGTTAAAAATTGCCTAATTTGTTTAGCATATAGTTTTTTTATTAATTTAACTTGTAAATATTCAAATATTTTTTCTCCTCTTTCACACATTTCATAGCAACCAAATATGCTTATGTTGGAGTTTTCACGGAGCCACAGTTTTTGGTAACTTTTGGCGTGCATACTAAAATTTATCTTCTAATTTCCTTAATTTTGCAGCACAATGTGCAAAATTTTGACCAAAATTGGTCTTTCTTTGTTTGTTCTTACAACCTTACTTATATATATATATATATATATATATATATATATATAAACAGTGTTCAGTCATACAATACTATTAATTTCACAATTATATAATATTTGAAGTTGTACAAACTTTTGCTGTCTTGGAGATCATATTCAAAAATAGAACATGAAATTTCAATTTAAAGCTTGGTTGAAATTGAACTAAATGAAAATAAAATGCTTGGGTAAGTTTATTAGCAAAGCACAGTTATCTGCTTAGAGAAAAATACCTTGGAGGAACTCCCAAATAAAACTGGCTTATATTTACTCCATACAGGGTAAAAAGTGTGAAAATCAATCAATCCCAGCCAATCCCTTTGACTGGGATCGAACTCTCAGTATTCAGCAGGCTTAACTGGTGGGACCATAAATAGTTTAAATGTTAAATGAAGTTTACAGAGAAGAATGTATGACACATGTAATCATAAAAAAGAATTCATAAAAATCAAATTAATACTGAATACAATACATTATGAATTATCCTGTACATCAAAAACTTACAAAAATAAAACTAAAATCAAACATACTACATAAAATGATCTTTACTTTTAAATGATTACAAAAATTTCTCAAGCAAATTACTCAAGAATCTCAATATGGCTTATGTTTGCATCAAATTTTTCTGTCTTTGATATCTTAGGAAACAGCATTATCACGGGTAGATTCCTGTGTAGAGCACCCATTTGATTGAATTTAATAACAGCATTTTAACGAGTTCACATTCCAAATATGTAAGAAAAAAAAGCAGTTCCATAGTTGAAGATATCTGCGAGATCGACAGCTACCTGCAGTTAACATGACTTTCTCTATGATTGTGGAGATGTGAATTATGTGATAGAAAGAAGCAATATTATTGGTACAGTCCTGCAAAATCAATACTTGCAAGCAATCGGTGACTGGAACACAAATGATCGGGGGGGGGGAGTACTGAAAAGAACAATCAGAGGCATACTTAATTAAGAAAATAAAACCAAATAGAGTGAGAAGAAATGTTAATACGAGGGCCATCCAGGAAGTAGATTACGTTTCCGTCTGTGTCCGCTAGGGGCGGGGCTAGCGCGGCCATCTTGGGGTCAGAGCGTTGCGCAGCTCAGTCTGCATCTAGCCGTGCTAATGAGAGGTTCGTGCTGTGCTCCGTTCAGATACTGTGACGGTTTGAAATGTCTGCGTTAATTGAAAATCCCGCGAGCTGCGAGGTGCGCTCAGTAATAAGGTTTCTGACTGCAAAAAACTGTAAACCGATAGAAATCTATCGGCAGCTTCGTGAAGTGTATGGGGACAACATTATCACTGAAGGTGGAGTGCGTCAGTGGGTCATAAGATTTCAAAATGGCCGAACCAATGTTCACGACGAAGATCGAAGTGGGAGACCCAGCATAGTGACGCCGAACTTCTCGAAAAAGTCGATGCTAAAGTCCGTGAAAATCGAAATTTCACAATAACGGAACTTTCTTCGAGTTTTCCACAAATTTCGCGAAGTTTGTTGCACGAAATCATCAGTGAAAAGCTTGGTTACCACAAGTTTTGTGCAAGATGGATTCCAAAAATCTTGACAGAGGACCACAAAAATCAGCGAATGGCTGCAGCGTTGAACTTTTTGGACGCTTACCATAAGGATGGTGACTCTTTACTCCATCGCATCGTTACTGGTGACAAAACATGGGTGAAACATGTGAACTGTGAAACGAAATTGCAATCAATGCAGTGGGGGCACACAAGTTCTCCCCAAAAACCCAAGAAATGCATGCAAACAATGTCGGCAAGGAAGATGATGGCGACTGTTTTTTGGGACAGAAAAGGTGTAATTTTGGTGGACTTCCTGGAAAGAGGCACTACAATAAACTCTCAAAGGTATTGCCAAACTCTCCAAAAACTCAGAAGAGCAATTCAAAACAAGCGCAGAGGAATGTTGAGCTCTAAGATCTTGTTGATTCACGACAATGCCCGGCCCCACACGGCAAATGTCACTCGTAAAGTTCTTGAATCTTAAGTGGGAGTTGTTTCCTCATCTGCCGTACAGTCCCGACCTGGCACCGAGCGCGACTTCCACCTATTCCCAGCAATGAAGAAGTGGCTGGCTATGCAGCGTTTTTTGATGACGACGCACAGCTGCAAGAAGAGGTAACGAAGTGGTTGAAGGCGCAGGCGGCCGAATTTTTCGACGAAGGAATTTCCAAGCTCGTACATCGCTACGATAAATGCCTTAATTTGTATGGTGACTATGTAGAAAAGTAGTATTTGAGTGTGGCTTTCATCTGTATATAATAAAATTTGTTTCCTATACTTTGTTTATTTTTTTATTCCAAAACGTAATCTACTTTCTGGATAGCCCTCGTAGATAATGTCAAATGAATCAAACATCAGAGTGAAAATTACTAAACAGTTTTAATAAATATTTTGTAAAACAGACCTAGGATTTCTGCAGTGCGACTTAATCATAACCACGAGCTGGCATCATTCAGTTGCTCATATTTCCAATATTTTGGGAAAAATTCTCAGCAATTTTTACAATGACTGGCCTCACCAGTTTTAAATTTCTTATGTACATACACATTTGAAACAAGACATTTTCAATTGATTTGTCACAGTGTTATATTTTGGTCATGCTGAAGCACACTAATTAGCATACGCAAATTGAAGTGCTTTTCATTTATCAAAATTTTATATTTTGATTGCACAGAAGCACACGGATTTGCAAATGCAAAAATCAATGTGCTTTTGATTTGTCAAAGTGTTATAGTTTGGTTGTGCTGAAGCACACCCACTTGTATACTGGACATAAAATCTCCAACAAAATGCGAATGAATAAATTTATTCTGCCATCTTGTCGCTAATAATAATTTGGGGAGGAAGGCAAACAGAATTAACAGCAATCAAAACTTTGACTTCCAAGTATAATCTTGCATGAAATTAAATATCAATCAATACATTTGAAGGTAATAGCCTCAACGTAAATGAAGAATATAAAAAAAGCAAATCGAGGCCATTTTCTTCAACATCAGAGTGTTATTTTGGTTGAGTTGGTTCCAAATAGAGCAACAATGAACCAACATTATAGATTCTGGAAACTTTATAGGGGTAACAAGAAAAGAAAAATCAGTTTATGAGAGTTTCATTCTTTATCGAATAATGCTGTTTAAATTCTCAGCCACTAATATATAAAAGCTGAAACAATCTTGTAAATTACCAATTAAAAATTTAAAAGTGAAAATATGAACAGTTTTTATTTTCTTAATTTGCTATTGAAATTAAAAAATTCCTTTTTTCATCTAATAAACTAAATTACAAAACGCAATGAAATCCAAAACTAAAAGATCAAGAAAAAAATTAAAAAAAAAAAAAAAAAAAAAAAAAAAAAAAAAAAAAAAAAGCAATCCCAATTAAAATACAAATTATTTAACAAAGACAATACATATTTCTTAATAACAAAAAATGTTATAAAATCCTTTAAAAATTTAAGAGAAAGATTATTTTGAAATATGGACAGAAGTCATCCACTAATAATCTGATTTATTAAACAATATGATTTGTTTACATTGCAGTCATATGTACAAATCCATGTAAACCTTAGCACATACTTAATATTTTACAAGATTTACTGCTGTTTAACAAAATAATAAAAAAAAAAATTAAAAAAAAAAAAAAAAATTCTGAACTTACTGTTTTAGGACACAATTGATTTTTCAGAAAATTACTACAATATTTTGTGGTCCCCAGAGATGCTTTTAATGTTCTTCCATCCACCTGAATATTATTTACTGATTTAATAGCCCTTAAAGCATCTTCTGGTCTACAGTATGTTACATAAGCACTTGCACTTGGGCCCTGGAAATTGGAGTATAATTTGTAACAACATTAATACTGCTAATAATTTTTCAGAAAATGAAATACATATACAATTAGTCACTTTCCCATCATGTTTTTTACACAATCAGTCACATTTTTTAAACTTTAAGTACAATATTATGAATTAAAGCTACACTTTTCATTTAATTTCATTAATTCAAAAATAAACATTTCAAACTTTTTATCAAAACTACATGCATTTAAAGCATGTATTTAGATTAACGTTATATGATTCAAACAGAAAAATACCTTCAAAACTGTCCAAGTTTTCTATGACATGGAGAACTAAATTGCTAATTACTCTTTCCTTCATGTTATTCTCTTTCCACCAGAAGTTCTCAGCCTTTTTTGCTCCATACATCCCTTTCAAAATTGCTAGAGAATCAACACCCTTATTTCAAAAACGTGAAATATGCATTCAGGGTTTATTCGTATGACAGTGGGTCTAGTAAAAAGGAATCATTGATCCGATCAGTACATATTGTCAAAATTCTTCAAAACAGTCTCATTGAGTATATGCGATTTCCCATGCTGCAAAGGCTCCCTGTAAATTCACCAGCCATTATCCCTTTTAGAGACAGCCCATTGGATGGTAGGAACATCTTTAAAACAGTGAGCTTTCAGACCTCTCATGAGCTTTGAAAACTGGAAAAAGGCCTGCCACGCTCACATTGGGGCTTTACAGTGGCTGCAGCAAGGTTGCAATTCCTATCTGGCCCAGGTAAGCAGTCAGAACAAAGTCTGTGTGGGTTGTAGTGTTATAGTGGTGGTGGTGCTTCCAGCGATAGGCAATCTCCAGTCATTTCCTATTCATAGCTCTGTACAGGTGACTTCTTTGCAGAAAATGGCATTAACAGTTTATCCTGGAGATACAAATTCTTTGTGGGCAACTCCTCACTTGTCAAAAAAGACAACATTGTCATTATCTTGGATTTTGACAGTCTCGCTTTCGAAGGGTGCCCGGAGTTCAAGCCATGGCATTCTGAACTTTGGCACTTGCACTCCTCACTTGTCGAAAAAGACAAACATTGTCATTATCTTGGATTTCGACATCCTTGCTTTCTAAGGGTGCCTGGAGTTCAAGCTATGCTAGTCTGAACTTTGGCACTTGGTTTTGGTGTCTTACTGGAACATTCATGATTCATTATCTGTTATTACTTTATCTAAAAAGCATAATTCACTCTCTAACTGTTCGAACATCTCATAGGAAATGCCAGCTCATCATTGATTATTGTTCTTCACTCAACAACAACAAGCACCAATTTCATAAAAACCTTTTACAAGTTCAACTTTTTAAAAATAATTTTGCGACCCATTATTTTGCACATGTTGAAGTCTTCAGCTATTCATCTTGCACTCAAATGATGGTCGAAATCCAAGTGATTATTTATTATGGCCACATTTTCGTCCAAAGCACTTATTGAACAGTGTTCCATTTCTTTTTAAACATCTTCCCAGATTAACTCACTGAACCAGCACAAAACCTGGGGCCCTTGACAGGGCATTGTCTTTGTAAGCCTTCTTAACCAAAGCAAGCATCTCAAAAGCGGTTTTGCCCACGTAAAATTAAAATTTAATTGTAAAACACTGCTCCAGCAAACCCTCTATTTTTGAGATTTTCTGCCATAACAAAAACTCAAAAACAGCTTTTGTCCCGCACATGATCCTCACTGCATCAAAACATAGATGAGACTGTCATCCACTGCATTGCTTTGCTTAGATCCCCACCACAAATCCTGCACAATCTCATTATTTTATGGACAAACTTAGTATGCATTTATTTAAATTATGTTTAATGTGTTTTCAAGTTATACAAGAAAAGGTACAGGACATCTTCATAAATAACAAAATCTGAATAAAAGTAGTTTTAATATTCATAAAATAGAACTAAATGCTTAATAGAATAAAATTATGACCACATTCCTCCCATGAAACTATGAAATCTCCCTTATCCAGAATCCCTGCTCTAAACTATGCATATGCATTATTTTTGAGAAATTATACAAATACTTAATTTTCACACCCAGGCTGTAACATTTAGAATGATTCAAATAATACACCTAATGTGATTTGGGCAGAATCAAAATGCAGCTAAAATTTTGCTTCAAACACTTATAAGGAAAATTAGACAGAATGTTAATCAGTGCTCATATATACTTTCAAATAACAAAACTTGATATTTTTGCTCAGTTTTAGTAGGACTTTAAAGAAGCCAAACATGCACCAAAACCCAATCATATTGCCATCTGTACTACTGTTGTGAGTTGGTATTTATAAACTACTTATATAACTAGAAAGAGTTACACAGGTTTCGCATACTTTTCTACACACGGAAATTAGGTACTTTTAAGGATCATCAATGGAAAAAATTAAGGAACTACAAGCAAATGGGAAGTGAATAAATTCAATAAAAAATAGTATCTATGCCTGTTCTTCTCTTTTGTAATACTATTCTACAAATGAAATAGATTCGTAAGTAGGATGCATTACTACTAAACATAATTAACAAGTTTGAGAATAAAATAAAGTTTATGAAATTTATCAAGCACCATTAAATATTTTACACTTATAATAGTTGGACATATGTGAATGAAGATAAGTGACATTTTATTTATGTTTTACTAACAGTTAGCTTTATGTTTATTTATTTATTTTAATGTCTCATTTTGTCACATACTTGCTGAATCTAGACATTTAGTAAATAGCATGTATATTTTATGTTAAGCAGCATGATTCATAACAAAAGACTGACCGTTGTCACCACTGCTGCTTGCCTAGGAAAAGACCTGCTGATCAGAACAAACTTGAAAGGCCCGATATGGGCATGGTTGACAAGTTCAGAAAGTTGGACTCTGTCTGACCGTGACCTTCAAGAGGGAGAAGGCCATGACACTTAATAAACATGGGGGAGCTTTCCGTCCGATGTTATCGTCAGAAAGTCATCTGGATTTTTTAATTTTCGTCGGAAATATAACTTAATCATGTTGCTTAGTTAATTAAAATAGCTGAAAGAAAGGAGGCTTTATATACATACACACTTTTTAAGCTTTTTACAAATATTTTAATTAAATTTGTGCATAAATATAGTTGAAAGAACCGAAAAACAAACGAACATTTTACAAAAATTTAAACGATGATTGAAAATTGCCACTGTCATGATAAATTGGGAAGGGGTTCATAAGATAATAATTAATATTTTACCTAGGCTCAAGTATTAATTTATTCTTGTTTCAGAGCAAAGTATATAACCATCAACTTCTATATTTCCAGAATATGTAAATGAAACACTGTTAGCTAATAAATGTGATAAAAAATATTTCATACAAAAACATGCCTAAATCTTATAAAAAAAGGGCCTTCCAACATTCATATTTGAAATGAAATAACCTAACAAACAACATGCACAACTGGCAATAAAAAAATAATAATAAGAATATAAATGATAATTGCAATTCCCATTATCCTAAAATTAAGAAACTAAAATATGTATATACACCTGCATATGATTGAAAGAAATGGTGCTAAGAAACATTAGCATTACTACTAAATATTGTAATCCATAATTATTGCATTTATAAATCATATAATATTTAAAAACATTAAATTTTACATTAAGTGCAAATTGCAGTTCCGTTATTTTTTTCTTGGAATCTGCAGTACATCTCTTGGTATGAATACGAATGTTGCAAGTTATGTTTTTTAATTATTACATTTTCATTGTTAATTTTTGTATGTGCTTGTGATAGCAATAAAATTCAAGATAAATGGGAAAAAACTTTTTATAGTGTGCTATTTAATGAAGAGCAGATTTAAATGTGCAGTTCTTACTATTGTGTATATTATTCAAATCATTTCTGCGCAGTATACAAGGGAAAGTACCCAAAGAAATGTTATTGATTTGAAATGAATAAAATGGCCGTGAGAACCTGCCATTGTCTAAAATAAGTGTATATAAATTTACATATGATCGAAAGAAATGATGTTAAAAATCATCAGCACTTCTACTAATCACTGTACTTTTAACAGCTTGCTATTTAAAAAACATTAAATGATTTTTTATTAATTGGAAGTACTAGTTCTGCTACTTTTTTCCTGGTAACTTTCAAACACTGCATAGTTTATGTGTTTTTTAAAATATTGCCATATACACTAAATATATCAACATACACTATTTAAAAATATTTAAAACATTTTTTAATATTTTAAAATAGTGTGTGTTGTTTGTTAGGTTATCTCATTTCAAATATGAATGTTGGAAGGCTTTTCTATAAGATTTAGGTATGTAATATTTTTTTATAACATTTATTAGCTAAGTTGTATAGCATTTCATTTACATACGCTGGAGATATAGAAGTTGATGGCTATATATTTTGCTCTAAAATGCGAATAAATTCATATTTGAGCCTAGCTAAAATATTAATTATTATCTTAGAAACCCTTCCCAATTTATCATGACAGTGGCAATTTTCAATCAGCGTTTAAATTTTTGTAAAATGTTCGTTTGTTTTTCGGTTCTTTCAATTATATTTATGCACAAAGTTAATTAAAATATTTGTAAAAAGCTTAAAAAGTGTGTATGTATATAAATCGTCCTTTCTTTCAGCTATTTTAATTAATTAAGGAACATGATAAAGTTATATTTCCGACGAAAATTTAAAAATCCAGATGACTTTCCGAGGATAACATCGGACGGAAAGCTCCGCCATGTTTATTAAGTGTCATGGCCTTCGTCAGATCATCACCTCTCGAAGGTCACGATCTGATGCAGTCAGTGTAATAGCTTCATGTAGAGTCCCACTTACAAATAAGTCACTAAAGCATATTTAATAAGATATTCTGTATTATGTTAAGTCTTAATAAATGCATAGAATAAGTTTTACATGAATTTTTACATTTTTGTGTTTTATCTTGTGACCATGGTAAGGATTAATGAAAGGTAATAACCCACTTTAATATGCAGAGATAATTTTTAAAGGTAA